GACAAAAGTGCGACCCTCACGAGGATTTCGGGTATATACCATGGGGGGGATACCATGGGGGGGTACCGACACGCGACACGAGACAATATATACACACACAGAGATTAAAACACATATACAAATATATACTTATATTTGTATATATGTATGCATGCCTAGATGTGCTCTGTATGTATATGCGCATTAGGCATTTGTTCATGTTTCCACAGCACTGGCAAGGAATATGATATCATGTTACACCTGCCTTTCGTCAAGATAGTATCATGCAAGGTTTGGCCAAAAAGGCACACAATAGCGAAAGAGCTTGTCTAATATAGGGGAGCCTGAATACTTGGAATTGGGTTTCGGTGTATTTTGTACAGGAAAAATCTGGTAACGCTGGGCCAGAATGGCTGAGTTCTACATGTTACTGGTGTTCAGCTTCCGGATACATTTGCGTCTGCCATGTCCTTTCAAATATATGATGTGCAGTCATGCACGAAGTTGCGTCCATAGGGCTTGGGAAGCGAGATGCGAGTTCCTTGAAACCCGCTTGAAGTGAAGCTGGCGCGGTACAGGAAGTACCCTCTACAATAGACTAATTCACACAAGCTCCATGCCGAGGCGTTCGCGGAAACTTGGGGCCGTAGGAGGTGAAATGCGAGGCCTGCAGCGGCTGAGGGTGAGACAATAATTATGCTGTCTGTCCTGGGTTCGACTTTCAATAGAAACAGGCTGTGGCCGAACGAACTTCCAACACCATGCATGCTTCCCCAGTCTTCTGCCTGGGTAACAAGCATGCCTACACCGTAAAACATCAATTTAGGGTATATAAGGGCACTTCAAACACCCAAAAACCCTTATCCCCCCGGAGATCTCCTTCTGGATGCGACGACGGCGGCTACTGCTAATTGCCGCATTACTACGTTCCTCCTGTCTGTCTTCTGCACTGTTACTTGCATCATGTGTCCTGTTTTGTTCGATCATACTTGCTTCTTGTTCTCATTGACGATTGCTGTTGAAATACTTGATGTGCTTGCTACTGTACATCGTGCATGGCCACGAGGACTCTAGTAGAGTCTCCCATCATGCAGGCTTTAACTCTACTCGGGACGCAAAAAAAGTACCTGAACAAGAACCATAAGGTTGGGACATCCGGGAATCGCCTCTTTAGACAAAGCAATATGGCAGTGATATCCCACCCAACATTGTTTATGCTTTGGAGCTCCGCTGGCTCCTGATATATGAGCAGTGTGAACGGTTCTGCTTGAATGAATAGGGGCCTATAGATTCGAAGAAGCTTTGTCGAGTATATGGGTCGCTCCCTGAATTGGGGTCCCTTTTATAAGGGTGCCGTACTATGTTGGGGATCTGAACAAGGACCCGAGAACTACATATATTCTAGTTTTATTATCATGAAAAGCCCGATGGAACAACATCAGTAACTTTGTCACTTTTACTGTATAAGGACGGATTGTCCAAGGACCATAAGAGGCTACCTTCACAAACGAATTATTCCAAGCCCTAGAATCGCCCCCGAACCATGAGCCCTAAAACCCTGACTACACCATCCTCACCCTCAGCCCATAAACCTCAAAACCCCAAACCCTAAACCCTTAAAGCCTTTATGCCCTAAACTCCTCACCCCGGAGCCCTAATGAGCTGCCCCAACTGCAGAAATAGAGGGGCCTTCATACGTAGAATTGGGCATTTGGGGTATATTCTACTATAGATATAATACGGAACTCCAAAAATAGTATTGGTAATTACTTACCCTAAACCATCAACAAAACCCTAAGCCTTAAGTCCTAAGAACTAAACCCTAAAGCCTACATGAAGTTGCATTGGTAATTTTTCAGGCCCCCCTTTGTAGCTTGCCAGGGCCCCGGGCCAAAGTGTTGATGGCCGAGTAGAGCGAATAGTAGCTCTGCCTGCGTTTCGGAGGCCACTGCAAGGGCTACTTAGGGGTTTAGGGGTTTTGGGGTTTACGGTTTAGGGTCTACTGTTAACGGCTGTAAAGGGGGTAAGAGTAAAAAAATATTGTAAGGGTTACTGTAGGGGGCGGAATCGCCTGCGATTCGGCCAGGGTTTGCGGCTGTGGGGTTTAGGGTTTTGGGGTTTAGGGCTTCTGTAGGGTCGACAGTCTAGCTCGGGAAGTAGCATGAAGTAGCTACATAGCAGAATGCAGGCTTTCTATACCAGGAACTACTAGTATGATTTCGGGAAGTACACCCCATAACAGCACATAGGACCATTTAGAAGCCAAAATATGCCAAGATCATCACCAGTATTGTTCCTTAGGGTGCCCTCTTATACTTACATGATGAAGGAGCCCAAAGCTCCATTCTACTTGGGAGTTTCGGAAAATTCGGGGTACCTTATTTTGGGGTCCTTATAATAAGGATCCTACTATTTAAGGTACTATAGTAGGGTCCCCTATTTTCTGAAACCCGCACTTATTTAAGGCCTCCACGGTACATCCGTTCGAGGTCTCAGCCAAGGCACTGGTTCAGACGACCCTCGACGAAGTTCGCCGGGAAGATGCGTGAGGTCTGATGGCATCTAGTTCCCTTAGCTTAGCCCATAAGCCTACAAATCCGAAACCCAAAAACGTTCAGCGTTCGTTATCCTGAACCTTGAACCTTCAACCTTTGAACCCTCTTGAACAGAAGGCACACTAATTAGGAACGGAAGTCATCTCACAGAGGTTATGCGGTATCCTATGTCGCCTCCCTAGCCTCTAGTATAGGGACTGAAACAATTACACTGGGATTCGGGGTATAGTATAGAATGCCTGTAAGCACGGTCCTTAAGGAATAGTCTCGGCGATTACTCAGGTATCGGCGCTGCCATGCTACGGTTATTGATCAGGGGCTTTAGTGTTCGGTTTTGGTGAGCTGTGGGGTACAAGATGCACATGCAGGTTGAGGGTCAAGGCTGCACTTTAGTCAAGAGTAAGGTTGAACTTTTGTGGTACAACTTTGGGTTGTTGGAGTTGAGAGTCTAGAATGGGACTTAAGGTTTTCGGCTTAGCTATAGTCTATACGGGTTCTATACGGTCTGAACGGCGACTATTTCTGCTTATTCAGGCCTCTACTATTAGCCTACCATAAACCACCTCCTTGCACCGGCCGGCAGCTACGAAGGCCTTCCGACGGATAGATTCTGCCGTCGGTACAAGGCCAACCAGTCGTTCATCTCCTTCTTCACCCGGGTGTTCCTCAGTCTACTCCAGAGACCGTGGCTTAGTTGCTGCTTGTGGTTACAGCTGAAGGGTCCCCTGGAAGCATCCCTGAACCGCAAACGCAGTAAACCGCAAACGCAGACAGACCCTCGACCTTCATGTTCAGTTGCTCACCCTAAGTCGGTGCTGGTCAGACCTGTCAGATAAGCTAGGGCGGCCGCCACTTCTCCATGTTAGGAGTCCCCTTGTCTAAAGAGGCGGAGATCTTCATGTGCTTCATCACCTTCAAAGGGGTCAGCCAGACAGGGCTCTGCAGCTTGATGTGGCCATGTCACTGGGACGAGGTTGTTCCACAGAATGGCTCTGAAAGCTACCCAAAACAGCTAGGGTCTGCAAACCTGCAAGAGGCGCTCCACACAAACTCGCATCAAAACACCTTGAGTCAAGGACTGTGACCCTAAACACCAGAGCCCCAAGCGAGAAACGGGCTGTGCCACGATTTTCTTCGTCTGTGGCTCCGCGTCCCGGCTACTGCTACCGTCCGGTCTCGCAGTGTGGCATCTCGATGTCAACTCCATCTGTGTAAAGGGAGTGGACGCATTCTGCAGGAAGATTCCTAGAGAATGCAATTCACACTAGGGACTGGGTAGCATGGACCGGAACATTCCCCGAATTTTTCCGAGCATGATTCGGGACATGTGTCGGCCTTTTCCGTGTAGTCTCGAATAGAAGCACCACCATCATACTTACAGCGGCAGCAAACGAGATCATAGGGATACTCGCGGGCTTTGCCATTGGCAAGCGTCTCATCCTGATCTGTCAGGTCTGAGTACTATACTCCCGGAAGCCCTCTAAACTAAATGCTCTTGATGCTCATGCTTATAACTGCTGCTACGCATGCTTCGCTGACCTGTTCCTTCTTTCTGACTACACGAGCATGTTCGTCTACCTGGCCTGTCCCTGGTGCAAGTGCACGAGCTTCTGGTCCGCAACGCGGGTTGCTCCAGCGGGACTGGCGAGACAGAGAGACACGGCCACGACGAGGATGCGAAGCATCTTCCTCTGGATATGGCAAGCGATGGTGGGGATTGATGTTGAAGGTCTGAGACAGGCTACGACTGAGTGCTATGAAAGCCAGAATGCTGCGGCTGTCTTTCCAAAGACAGGCAGAAGACATGTCACGACATGAACAGGATTCTCATTCTCTCTCTCTCTCTCTCTCTCTCTCTGCCGCTCTCTCTTTTCCATGGTCCCTTCTTTGGCACGGCCGTATCCAAGTTGCAAACTCTGCATGCATGCATGCATACACATGCATGAATGCTTGTTTCTGTATATGTGCATGTGAATCTGCTGCTCTCTGTGCGTGTATACATGTATGCACACATGCATCTATATATCTAATATTATATGTACATGTACGGCATGTGTGAGTATGTGTATATATATATATGTATATACATATCTCTCTGTGTGTGTGCTTGTTTATAAGTCTCGGGTTGGATGCATAGTTTAAACATTATACGTACTTACATATATGTATGTGTATATATATATATGTATATTTATCTGTGTGTGTGCTCATGTACGAAGAGAGAGAAAGAGACAGAGATAGACATAGAGAGAGAAAGAGAGACAGAGAGCGTTGTTTAGCAATGGCTATGCCAGACTACGTGGAAACCAGCTGCAGTACCTGTTCGATCGACTGGCCTGGTAAGTGTCCTGTCGGTACTTGGACTTCATGTAGAAAGTCTTGTAGTCCTGGCATAAAAGTCGAGTGGCTTGAGGATTGGAGGTTCAAGGTTGACGCCTGCGCTTCGGGCTTTAGGCTGTGAGCCTTGGAGAGATGCTGGCTGAGGGTTTGGAGCCTTAGGGTACAGATTCGGAGGTTTAGGGTTTAGGGTTTAGGGTTTAGGGTCAAGCAGCTTTAGTATTTAGTGCCTAGGGCGTGATCATGACACAGATGCAGTTCGCAGAGCCCAGCCTCGTTTAGGGGTCCATCAATTTCGCTGTAAGATGTCTAATCTCAGCTCCATCTCCTTGAACCACTCATGCCCAAAATCGTACACAACCTGAAGTGCTTTGAACCCTGAACACGCAGCGCTTGCTAATCACACTTACGATCTTAAAATTGAAAGTGAGTAGTTAACAGCATCGCTAACATTTAATAGGATACCCTGAACACGAATCACTGCGTCCTCCTTCTTGTCAGCGGTGTTCTCCATGCCGATCAGCCTTAAAGCTCCGATTGGCTTGTAGGTAGGGCTTCCGGTCTGGTTAGGTAGCGACTAGCTGAGAGTAGAACAGCACCTACAAAGAGAGAGAGAGAGAGAGAGCGAGCTTCAAGATCCCTTGTACGGGTGTAGGTTTCCCATGTTACGGTCAATGTTACGTCTAATTACGTAGCTTCTTAGCGTCCCGAGGTAGCACTGCAAGGCTAAACCCTGAAACCCCGTTCTCTCCGGCTGGCCGCTTGGCACCAGGCCCAGCGAATCAATGAGAATCCCTACAAGGGGTTCCTGTATGTGTCTATCGTTTATCATTAACACGACGGAGGCCTTTAACTGGCCATTCTGCTCCCATCCTGTTGCCGGCCGGCTTTCCGAATTCCCGAAATCACTGCAAGCTTTTTGCTTAGCTTGCTGCGCAGGGATTCACTCCAGCCTCAATCTGAAAGAACCATATAATTCGGGTCCTTAACAACCAGCACCGGGTTTTGAGATAGATCAGCTTAACATGTGTATGGTAAGGAGCCCTAGACCCTAAACCGTAAGGAGCAGTGGTTTTGGATGCTAGCAAATGCCGGGCCCGACACGATCTCTGCAGCCCTGAATCAGAAACCAATCCGATCCACTCAAGGCTATCAGGCCGTCCCTTACGGGTTCCTGTAAGGGTTTCCTCCAAGGCTTTAGGGTTAAAGGCTTAAGGTTCTCAAGCTACGAAAGAACATGCATATTCTCTTGCACATTGGAGTATTATGTAGCTGAGAGCAGGGCAATCTCTTCCGATAGTCGTCATTAAGGTTTCGGGTTGAAGATTTAGGTTCCCTAAACCCTAACCCTTAGCATCAAAATAGCCCAAATAGCCCAAAAGCCTTACATAATAGGGTCTTTGGGCCCATATGAGTCCTTTGATGCTGAAGGTAAACCTTAACCCCGCAGCCAAGCCCTTTGCTCGTAGGGATCAGAGTTGATACGGTCCGGGACTTCCACCTGAGCATGTGGCGCAACGGACAGTGCTCCCTGCTTAGTGGAAGCTCGTCACTGGCATTGAATTACGCATGTGACGTGTGGGCGGATTACGTGTTGAGGGCTTGAGGTCTTGACACTCAGAGAAACAAGGCCAAAGAGCAAACCGTCTCTGAAGATCCCAACTGTCATGAACTGCCCCAAAGACGGTCAAACGAGGAATGCAGGCTGCAATCGACTTTCAAATCAGCCCAATTTCCAGAACGCGCAGCCAGTGCCCCTGCAAACCGCATAATTCGCAGTAGTCCTGCCTGCTTCATTGCTCAGGAGATTCGATGTAAAGCGAATGAGACTCGCTCCAGACATCTCAACTCTGTTGTTGTTTTTGTTTTTCATGTCTGTGTGTTGTCTCTGTGTGTATGTGTTTCGCTTTGCCGTTAACTACATACACATCCATCCATCCATCCATCCATCCATCCATCCCTCCCTCCCTCCCTCCCTCCGTCCGTCCGTCCGTGCGTGCGTGCATGCATGCATGCACACACACAGACACACACACATATACACATATGTATGTGTATATATATATATACACGGTATCATACACGAACGCAGTGTACAAACTCGTTGGTAATGTCAACTATGTGCATGAGCACTCTTATAACTATTACCTACGGAAGCTTTACTTGTGGAGCATAGTAGTCAACAAAGGAAAAAGCAACAACTAAACCCAAAACCCTGAACCCTCAACCCTAAAGCCTCAACCCCAAACCGTCTGCCGCCTGGGGCTTCGGAGGTGCGCCGGTTGCCCCCTGAGCCTGCGAAAGACAGAGGCTCGAGGACGCGAGAAGCTCCAAGCTTCAGGTTTTCGGCTTAGGGGTTTATAGGGTTTAGAGTTTAGGGTTTAGGGATAACGGTTTAGGGTTTAGGGTTTAGGGTTCAGGGTTAACGGTTTAGGGTTTAGGGAATGAAGGGATATCACAACCGATTAGACTACATGATGTAAGACTATATAATGTTAAATGTAGTAAGTGTAGTACATTAAAACATACTATGCTATATCTTACTATGTGTCGGGTCGTTTATGGCTTCGGGATTAGGCTTTGGTGGTTTGTAGGGTTAGGGATTGGGGGGTTGTCGATTCCACGGGAAAGTTGAGCTTAGGGGTCAGGTTTCCTGGACTGGGTTCGAAAGATTAACTGGGCTGTTCGGTAACCTACTGGCAAAAGCATATACTTTGTGGTATTGTGAATATTATAATACGAACCAGAAACAAAACATGCAGACACAAAAGATACTACTGAACATCCTAGTTTAAGACGATAACGCGCCACGGACTTGAAGCTGCTTTGGATTAGATTCATTTAGGACATATGGGTTGGACATGTGAGGTGTAAGTTGATTGTGCAGGGGTTCGTGTTTCGGGGTTAAGGTTTAGGCTTGCCGCGGCTTGCCATGAGTCATGTTCGATCTGCTGCACTGCGGAATACTTAACCGAGCCGGCCTAGCACTGCAAACAGCCTTCGCTGAAGCCCGAGACCTTATCCCTCTCCAACTCGCCTGCGCTGCCAGAGGCACACCGAGGGCGGTAAGGCCCAGGGTGGAGAGCAGCCCCCTTCGTGACGCCTCTGAATTGAACTCGATTTGATAGCGCACTTCTTTGCCAGCATCACCAGTCTTCTTTTGCTCTACTGTCAGGACTACTAGAATGTTCTCCTTGTTTCTCGACTCATGACTGCACCTTGCATACTCCCATGTTTCGTAAGTCAGGAAGCCTAGAAGCAACACTATAGCAACAAACACTTTGGTTCGATGAAAGTCCAGCTCGGATGTTGCTTTTCGGGTACGATTTCAACTGCTACAAGTGATCCTTGTGGCTTTTGCTTCTTGCTCCCGAAGGATTGAAATGGGTTGGGAATGGCTCGCTCCATGGGTTCCAGGTTCAGGGGTTTCGAGGTGGGGGTGCGGGATGTCACCCTAAGTTCGAGTACGAGACCAAAGGGCTTTGGGTTCGGGTTTACTTGGCAGTGACCAAGTTTACAGGATCCGGGCGCATAGAGACTGACTAGCCTGGAATGATGTGTGGCTGTCCACTGATGCCAACCATGCTACGGTCTGACGGACCCCCTATCAATAACCATGCCAATGCCGATCCCTGAGCCCATGCGAATGCATACATGTTACATGGATAAGCTTACGTAAAACTTCTACATCTACATCTACATTATGCGCATAACATGTGTGTATAAATTTAAAGAAATATAGTTAGTTGTGTGTGTATATATATATGTGCACGTATCAATTTATTTGTTATTATTCTTACACATCTACTTATATACAGACATACACAACACATCCATCCGTCCACATCCATCAATCCATCCATCCATCCCTCCCTCCCTCCGTCCGTCCGTCCATCCATCCATCCATCAATCCCTCCATCCCTCCATCGCTCCATCCATTCATCCCTCCATCCCTCCAGCCCTCCGCGTCCATCCATCCATCCATCCATTCCTCCATGCATGCATGCATGCATGCATATATATATATATCATATGTATATATCATATATACATATATGTATGTATGTAAATACATATATGCACATCTGCATGTAAGTAAGTAAGTCAGTAAGTAAGTAAGTAAGTAAGTAAGTAGGTAGGTAGGTAAGTAAGTAAGTAAGTAAGTAAGTAAGTATGTATGTATGTATGTGTATGTACGTATGTACGTATGTACGTATGTACGTATGTACGTATGTATGTATGTATGTATGTATGTATGTAGATAAACATGTATACATATATATATATACATACATACATACATATGATGTATCCATATATGTATATCTGTATATATGTCCGTATTCATTTCTGTGTCCATGTATATATATGTGTGTGTGTGTTTGTGTATGTGTATATATATATAGAGAGAGAGAGAGAGTATGTATTCATGTATGTATGTATGTATGCATGTACGTATGTACGTAGGTATGTAGGTATGTAGGTATGTAGGTATGTAGGTATGTATGTATATATGTATGTATGTATGTATGTATGTATGCATGTATGCATGCATGTATGTATGCGTGTATATGTGTGTATGTATGTGTATATATATATATATATCAGATACATATGTGTGTACACATGAGCATGCAAGACCCTTCAGTACATCGGCCCTGCTAGTCAACAGACCGGAGTCGTCCATCCAATCCCTCTAATCTGCGAGCAGGCTTGGGGTTTAGGGTGTAGGGTGTCAGGCTCATCCGTCACGTTGCAGCTGCAGTTGGACCTCAAACCTCGTCAAATCTAAAGTCTAAAGCTTCCCCTGGTGCCTGCGACTCCGCAGCACTTGGACCTGCCACTGATCGCTTTAGGGTGTGTGGGGTTTAGTTGCAAAGATACATAGAAACAAAGATAGATGCTGAAACGTTTGGCTTTACCCCCCAACGGTTGTTGCTCGAGAAATCTGGCATTGAGAGCATCTCCCCATGCAGCACACCACCCAAAGAGAGGGCGTTGAGTTCTGCGCCTGGCAGGCCTTAGATCTTCCAAGATTACGTTACCCTTAGGCCCCTAAGTAGTTCCTTTTAATGGGTTTATGTTTAGAATCCTATAGAGTAATCCCAAAAGGAACTACTTAGGGGCCTATGGGTATATCAGGCATCCTAATTACTCCAATTTAAAGTGTATTTCCCTAGGGCTCCAGTTACCTAAATAGTAGGTTACCGGGGTACATAATATATGGTTAGTAACCCACTATTTAGGTAACTGGAGGGTTAGGGTTTCTTAATCAAAAGAGTTTGGAAGGTCTGGGGCCGTGGGAGTGTCCCGGGTTCGTCTATTGGAGGGCTCAGGGGCAAAACCTGCACCGTCCGAAACCTAAACCTTTTTGGTGCGTTTTTTGGGGTTTAGGGTTTAGGGTACCTGTCACCCTCGACTTTGCTTTAAAAAAAAGAAAGTAAACATTACATGCCCCAAACCCCAAGGCCCTAAACCCTAGGCCCTATCCTCCCCACTCCCTACACCCTGGAAGCCCGGAACC